TTACTAATATATTATTATTATTTTATTTTATTTTATTTTTTAATCTTAAGCAGTTATACTAGTATTTTATTAAGGTTTTTGAAACTATATATATTTATAATTATATAGAATTTTTCAATATTTAAGTTTAGCATCACTCGGCCACCCTATTGGTACCTAAGTGCAATCTGCTACACTATCTTAGTTATAGATTGACTGATTATCTAACTACTTAAAGGCATACTAGAAAGATCTTATTCTTTCTGTAACAAGTATATTAATTGTCTTCCAAGCTTCTTTATTCATTCAGTTCATTTTTTTCATTTTTTTTTTTTTTTTCTTCTTTTGTTATCTTATTCTTCTTTGTTTTTTTCTTTGATTTTTTTTTAGTTCAAGCACCTTTTTTTTATTTTGCTTGTTATATTAATCTTTTTTTTTATTTTTGTACTTTATTATACTGAACTCTTCATACTTGGTTATAGAATGTATTTTACACTATTCTTGTCACTATATTTATGCATTTCTGTGTTGTCTGTCTATCTAGAATCTAACTAATCCTTTTTTCAACCTTATTCATTGCTAGCCCTTTTAGTAAAGCTGTTCTATTAGTAATTTTCTCTGCTTCTTTGTTCTCAAATAGTGCCTTATATAGCACTAGAGACAGGATTCTAACTTTTTTATTTTTTTTAAAACTATTTTATGTTGCTACTATTGCTACTTTTTGGATTCTTTTTCACAAGTTTTTTTGTTCAATGCAGCTTGCTAAATATGCTTAAGTTTCTTTTTTACTTTTTTGATATACTTGGCAATCAGTCATTATATATATTTTTGATCTTCTTCTATTTAATTCTTCTAGCATTAGTAGGCTATTTATTATGCATTTAATTGCTATTACTCTTCTTGTACTAAATTTTCTTATTATGCAATATACACTTTTTGTTTTATTTATCTTTTTTCAAAAGCTTAATTAATTATATTGAATGTTCTTAGTTTCTGACTTTAGTACTTAAATTGGGTTTGTTTTTCTTTAACTAGCTTTAATTCTGACATTTGTGATTATTTTGCAAAGAAGTCTTGTTAGTATATCAACTTTCCTGTTTTTTCATTTTAAATAGTATTCTATTTTGTTACACTTAATCTTCTCTGTAAATATTGTTCTTTCATATATTGTTTTTTTTTTGCAAATAAATCTGCTCTGTCATTCTACTTATTGTTACTGTAACTTTTAACCTTAATAGTTCTATTCTATTATTTTTGCTTTTGAGTAGACCTACAATATTTATTATCCATATCATGTTTTTCTTTTTTAAGACTTTGTTATTTTTTATCTCTTGAATTACTCTGTTAATATGCCTTAATGCTGCAAGGCTATCTATATGCACTTCTATACACTTCTCTTCTGATATAATTAAAATTGCTAATCATATTGCTGCTAATTCTGCTATTGTTGCTAAGGGTTAACCTTTAAGTCCTAGTGCTATTTCTTTCTCTGGCCAGTTTTTTCTATTACTAACCTGCACCCAACCAATGTTCATCTTTTTTATACTATTTTTCTCTTTCTCTTTGTATTTGCTCTATCTGTATAATAGGTATATTTGTCTTTGTTTTTTTTTTGTTTTTTATTAAAACTTCTATTATGTAATCTGTAACTTTACTATTAAATTTTTGTTTTTTAATTAATTCTATCTCTAATTTTTCTACTTATTTTAGCTCAATTAAACTTTTTTTTTCTTTTTTTGATTCTTTTATTGTTTTGTTTTCTAGCATTTGTTCTAATGTTGCATTAATCTTATTACTGCCTTTCTCTATTAATGTTTCTAGAATTGCCTTTATATTATTATTCTATTTTATCTATTTTCTACAATTATCTGTTATTAGTTTTGTTCTATTCTCACATTTTTTGCATTTACTTATCTTAGTATATATCTTGCTTTCTACTTTCTATAATAGCCAATGCTTAGCTAAGATCTTTTTTTTTTTTTTTAATATCTTACTAAGTTTCTGATTATGCTTTGGTCTATGTACAATCTACTTTTTCTTTCTTCTGTCTTCAGATATCTTTGTCTAGTTAATCATTAGCACCTGTATGTTGTAGTCTCCAATCTTGTATTGTTGTATATTTCTTTATTTGTCTGTATTATTAATATCTTTTCTTCTATTTTACTAAATTATTTAGCTTTTTTCCTTTATATAACAGTTCTAGAAGACTTTTAAGCTATCTTTACATAATTAGGTTCTTTCTTTTTATGCCTATAAGTTTGTTTAAATATATTAAACCATATTTATTTATTGTGCTACTACTTGCTGTTTATAATTTAACCCTAACTAAGTCTCTTATACTTATTTCATAATCATGTACTTTTCATAGATAATTTTCTGCTTTGATATTTATTCTCATCTTTCTTGCTTTAACTATTGTTTAACAAGCTAAGTTGTGCTTCTAATACTTTATTTCTTTTAATCTTCTTTCAGAATCCCAAATATCTTTTATTAAGCCTGCTTTCTGACATCCTTGAGCTATTCTAAGCTTTGTTAGATTATCTAAAGTGTCTTTCTATTAAGTCTTGCAAATAAACTGCTTATTTGCTTTATTGCTATTACTTGACTTAGTAATTTACAGTTTCTTAGATCCTTGTGCTCAATTATACAGTTATTTGTTGTTTTCATTATATTGCACTTATGTTTTGTTAAACATATTATTAACTAATAGATTTTGTCAATCATCTTTTCTGACATTCTTGTTAACTGCAAAAGGTATTCTAATTTTGGAATTATTACTGTATTATTTATATATGCAATTTGGCTTATTGTTATTTTTTTATATCTGAGGTCTTTAACTGTTTGGCTAACTATTCTTTTTGCTTTTTTGCAAACTAGTGACTTTCTCATTCTGCTGTTTAGCCAAATTTCCAATGATCTTACAATTTTGTTTTTTGTTTTTTTTGTTATTCTACTCTGTCTAAATGTAATTTTTTTATCTTTCTTTCTTAGTCTAGAATTCATTACTATAAGCTTTAACTTTGCTTTATTTATTTTAATATTATTTATTTTGAAAAACTTCTTTGCAATTTCAAGAACTCTTAGTACTTAGTTTTTGCTATTTGTGATTCATGTAGTATCATCTGCACAAGCAATCACTGCTTGCCTATGTTTTGTGATACAATTAATGTCTGTATTTTTTAGTATTTTTTGCTTTATTACATAGCCCAGTAATTTATCTTCTTGAATTTTTTCCAATAGTGAATTATAAAAAAGCTACCAGATAAGTGGGAAAATTATCTCTTCTTGATTTATACTATCTCCTGTTGTTATTTCTTCTGTTAGACTATAAGCTGTAATTATTTTAAGTTGATGTTTATAGAAGAGGTTAATAATATATTTAATTGTTCATTGTAGTACTTTAACTCTTCTAAGAGCCCACTTTAGGCTTTTCAATAAGACTAAGTCAAATGCCTTCTTATATATTTTGCAAAAGTATTTATGTTTCTTTATTTTTTTCTTATACTTCTTCTATTATTATATTTAACATATAGGTTAGTACATAGCAAAAAAGGGCTTCAGGACACTCTAACAGTAATTGAGATTTTTATTATACTATGTTCCTATCTATGTAATTTATTCATGATAGCTTCTTAATTCATGTTAGTATATTAAAATTTTGTATAATTTTATATGCAGTATTTTTTATTTAAACGATTCTTCTGTTTATATTTAGATCAGTAATTAAAAAATTTTATTGTTAATCTAAAAAGGAATTTATAAGGGGCAATATGTACTGGCATGTAGCATATGCATGTATAGTAAAGTTAAAAAAAAAATCATCTACAATGACTTCTCATCACACTTACCTGGAGCAAAGCACAGCTCATCTTTATAAAAATCGTGTATATATGATCGAATATCTTTAAATAACTGTGTTTGACATTTTAAAGATAAAGGTTTTAGGAAAATTATATTTAAAGATTGATAAGGATCAAAATAAGTATTATTATAAATTATTGCTTCTTCTTTTAAACCATTCGATTTCAAAGACATAAAAACTTTTCCAGATTGGTCATGATAAAAATAAAAATGCCAATATTGTCATATACCATCACATTTAACAAAATAGGAACTTAAAAAGGTTTCAAAATCATAATAACTTCATCCTTCTTTATCATATCTAACTGCTATGTTACTTTTATCTTTTTTTGATTGATTAACAGTATTCTTAACATGATCCATGCTCATAATATTACATTTACAGTATTGAGTTTTAATCATTCCAAAATGTGAATTACAAATAAACTTGGTATGCTCAGGAATCATAAAGTTAAGCTCAATTATATCAAAATGTCTAATTATAGTTAGCCATGAGTAAAACCAAAGAGCAAGATTATTCTTGTTTTGATCTGTGCAATTATCGTATATAACTTTTAAAATTTTTTGACTTGAATTCCAATAAAGTAAACTATTATAAACAAGACAAAGTGTAGTATTAGCATCTTTAGAAGTTTTATTTGGTAATTGATCTTCACTGATAAGATAATTTCTTTGTGTCGTAGGTGTCAAGCTAGTATTTGAAACTCCAAAAATATGAACATTAAACAGAGACTTAAAAAACAAACCTTTAGGCTGTCATGATAAGTAGAGAATCAATACATTTTGAGCCCAATCATAACAAATATGCATAGTATTGAACCTTGGTTGCTTACTAATATTAATACTTTCGTTATAATGTTGACATTCAAATGTTGCAGCCACCCGCTGAAGATCATATTTTGCTTGAATTTATTTTTACTTTTAATATCATTAGTATATCGAATTTTGGCATGAAGCTGTTCATATGTATCACATAAATCTGATGCTTTAGTCATAAATCGAATATTAGGTGCAACTTCTTTTCAAATTTTGAGAAATGTAGTATAAGCTATAGCTTTATAATTTTCTCCTTTAATAGATTTAATTGTAGTAATATATTCTTCATAAATACTATTATATGTTGTATTTATTGGAAGCAAAATAATAGACATAGCATCATGTCATATATGTCGAACTGGTGAAGGAAATTCATAAAAACTAGCATAATTATGAATATAATAATTGAGCTCTTGTTTTACTTGGTCATTAACAATAGCATAATCAGGTCTAATTGAAGAATGTCCAGTATTACTATGAATAGGTTTTACCATTCCATAATTCTTGATATGTGCCTTAATTCGATCAAGTCGAGATAAAGAAATTCCAATTAACTTTAAATAAGTAGATAAGTACATGATATATTAAGCATCATAACGATATTGATAAGTAAAATGATTACGAACTATAAAATTATCTGACTTTTGTAATTTTTTTTTTGTTTTGGTAATTTACTACTATATGCAAATGATGCAAGTTGTCCTTTAATCCAAACATCCAAGTCATCATGTGGCATATTACAGCATTCTTCTTGCCTTTTAAAAAATTGACAGAATCCTATTCTTTCAAAGCAAGCATTAATTTTATTTTTGGTTTTACGACAAGTACATTCTTTTTTTTGCCAAAATTCTTACAGTTCTTGAACATTTTGGCAAATTATATTATCCATTTTATCAAATTCTTTTAATTCCAATTCAGAAAAAGAAGGTGCAATATTATATATATCATTTGGTTCTGGGCTTGAATTTTCAAATGCTTCTTTATTATAAAAATTTTCATTATTACTATCATAAAAACATTTGTTGAAGTTCTCAATAGTTACCATTGTACAAAGTAAAGCAGTAAAACACTAAACTATGATTCATTGTTTATATTGTGAAGTTTAATTAATATTAAAAGCTATAAAAGCTTTAGCACAATGTTGATATAATAAGCACAATTTAGAACTTGAAATGTTAATATATAAGCACAATTTAGAACGTAAAAGATAATAATTTCAAAGTTTAACAGTTATGCTTTAGAATTTTAAAAGTTAAAGCTAAATCTATTATACGATTAACTTTTAAAAAGTATTTAGCATTCAAGATTAAAAGCCTTGAAAAATTCTCTTAGAACTTGGGAATATTAAAATCTGGTCTTTGGGATTTTTATTAACAATGCAATTATTCAATTATTACATATAGTATATATGTTTCATGTTACATATAAATTTCTAATTTTATCACAATACCATATATTGTATAAAAATAATTAAATATCGATATCTAGAAATAAAAAATTTGTCCTGAAGCCTCTTTTTGCTATGTACTGACCCATATATATTAGTTATTCTGTTAAGTTGCCAGGCAAGTTTACATAATTTGGTCCTTTGAGTATTTCTCTTTCTGTAAATATCTTGGCTAGCCTTCTTGTTATTATTTTTGTAACTAATTTTCTAAATATCACAATTAATGCTATTAGTCTAAAATTGTTCAGATTATATTTCTAGTTTACATCTTTTGAGATTGGATAGACTTGTGCTATTTTCTACTTTTTTGGCATTTCTTCTGTTTTTAAAACCAAATTTATAAAGGTTTTAAAGATCTTCTGTAATTTCTTTTCTGCTTGTTTTATTAAAGTATAGCTTATATCTAAAATTTTTAAAGCTATATTGCTTTGAGTTCTCTTACTGTGTCTTCTCATTTCTTTTCTTTTATTTTTTCTTTTAACTTTTTATATCAGAACACTTTGATTCACTTTTTTAGGTTGTATACTTCTATCTATTTCTTAGGCATTTTTTTTAGTTTGGTTCTTTCTTTCTGAATTGATTTTCAAAATAGTTTGTCAGGCTATCTAAAACAGTCTTAGGTTCTGTTATTAGACTGGTTTCATCTTCATTTTGGATTATAAATCTGTTCAGAACTATCTTTTTGTATAGTTTGTTTAAAAGGCTAATAATTATTTATCCTTGATCAGTTTTTATAATTTTACATCTTCTATTTATATTTTCTTTTATTTGTTTTCTTTGAGCTCATTCTTACTCTTCTTTTCTTCTATCTTTCAAAATTCTTTGTCAGCCTTTTATATTATTTATCCAAGATTCTGACCATTGTTTATATAATTTTGGTAATATTACTCCTATTTCTTTACCAATGTTTACAAGTTTCTTGTTTATTTTTTATTTTTCTTTTTTCTCTATCTCTTGGTTTCTTCTTATTTTTGCTTTTTTAATTATTTGTTATAGTTTAATTATGTGTCTATGCTGCTGTAGATTCTTTTAATAATGTTTTCTGTTTGCTTTTGTGTTGAATATCTTTTTTTTAGAATTTTTTTATTTACTGCATCTATTATAGCTTCTTCTATTGCATTTCATATATCATCTAGCATATTTGTACTATACAAACTGCTTTTTCTATTTTCTTCTAATTGCTTTAATATTTTTTTTTATTCTAATTGTGCTTGAAGCTATTTAGCATATTCTTCTCAGTTTTTTTGCTTTGCTTTTTCATACAAATATATTGTTCTTATCTGGTCTTTATGTTTGGTTTTTGCATAACTCTAGTTCACAATTATGTGCTCTAACTATATGACTATTGTTAATATCTTGTGGTTACTGCCTGTTATACCTTCTGTTTCTTCTATATTAGCTTCTTGAAAACTAGCTGCAATTGTTTTTAACAACCAGATATAGTTAATTCTTGTTGCTGCTTCTTAATTTGACCATGTGTATGTTCTCTCTGTTGGATGCAAATTTCTAAAGAAGTCTGTAAAATCTTGTCTCTTAAGCCAATTGAAAATTGGCAGTTTTTTATAATCTGTTGTTTGTGAATACAGTCTATCTAGTATATTGTTTACTGTATAATTGAAATCTTCAAGTATAACTATTTCTATATGCTTTCTCTTGTTTGTTACTATTTTTACAATTTTTTGCTGTATTTTCTTATTAATTGCTTTGTTATTTGGTAGAATATACACCTCTATTACTATTAGTACTAGTTGTTTGAAGTATAGCTTTACTTCTATTATATATTCACTGTTTTTTAACTGCTTTAACAAGTTTTTTTCAGGTTTCATCTATTAGAATTCCAATATCTGATTCTTTTTTCTTGTTTAGTACTGCATTTGCCCAATAATCTTTAAATCTTGTTTTAAGGTTATACAACAAGATTTTCTTTTCTTTTTTTATAATATTTATTTTTGTTATTTTTAAAAATACTATCTCTTCTTTCTTTGTTCAGCCTAGCAGGTTTTCTAATTTTCAACCTCTGGTCTTGAGTTCATTGATGTTGTGACATATAATTTTTATTTTTTTTTCCTTTTTTCTACCTCTCTTTTAACTGCTTGTATCTTGTTTTTGTGTTTTCTGCTTTTCTTTTCTTTGTTCTTCTTTTTTTTTCTTTTGGTTAGAAGACTTTTCTTTATTTTTTTCTTCAAAGATCTTTTTCTTGCTATGCAGAAAATTTCTAATCTTCTCATCCATATTCATAAGTTTACTTAGATGTTCTTAGGAGCAGTTAGCTAGGCCTCCTTTTATACCTAGCTGAGTATTCTCTAGTTAATTTAGTCTATCCAAAATTTGAACTAAGACTTTCTTCATCTGTCTTGTTTTCATATGTAGTTGTGTGTTTAGTCTTATTTTCTTTTTGATTATGCTTCTATTATTTCTTTCTGTATTAGTGTTTTTGTTTCTAGCTATTCTTCTATGTTCTGTAACTGAAAATTACTTTCTATTTTAATGTTTATTCTGTTTAAAATTTTATCATTTTTGTCTCAGCTTTTTCTATTAGTAGTGTTTTTATCTTCTAACTACTCTTTTACATCTTGTATTTAAGGATCACTTCTTTTTCTGTATATCTTCTGTTCAGACTTTGGTTAGTTCTTTTCTAGCTTCTTTCTCTTCTTTCTCTAACACTTTCTCCTTTTTTTACTTCTTTTCTCTTTTAATTTAGCTAGGATATTTAGAAATTGTTATATCTAATTGGTTTTAATTAAGCTGTCTTTATTTCTTTTTCTGTTATGAATATAATTATTGCTATTCTTTTTTGATTTCTATTTTTGTTTGGTAGAATATATACTGATTTTGCACCTTTGCTTTTTAGACAGCATAGTAGTAAAACTTTTGAAGCATTGCTTGGCAGCTCTGTTATTTTTGCTGTATACTAACTTTGCTTTTGTCTTGCTTTATAATTTTCTTTATCTTTTGTTACTCTTATCAGTTTGTTACTGTTAACTGATATAGATCATAGTATGTCTCCTTCTTCTGATTCTTTTACTTGGACTATTGTAAAAGACCTGTATTTGGATCTCTTGATTCTTGTTATATGTGCTTTTTTAAATTTTCTGTATATATATTCAATCTCTTTCCTGTTTATATCTGCCAGTAGATTCCAAATTGTTATATATTTACATTTTTGTGTTTTTTCTTTCTCAGTATCTATTTGATCTTCTATAGATTCTCTTTTGTTTTCTTGTTATTTATATTTCTTTTTCTTAAATTTTAATATATTGTTTCTTTCCTTCTGATATTCTTTATTATATGTTTTCCTTTTTTTTTTTGTTTATTCTTTCTTTTTCTGTGATCATTTTGTACTAATTACTTTTTTTTTGCTAATTCTTTGTATTGTCTCACTTCTGCTATACTTGCAGTTAAAGTCTATCTCTATCTATAAATTTTCTCTTTTAAAAACTTCTTCACTATTTTTAACATACTTATTATTTTTTAGTGACTATCTGATAAAGTTCATATGTTCTTCTTTGGTCTTTACAGAACATTATGTGCTGATATGTTTGCAATTAGGCTGTTGTTTCGATTGCAACTTCTTTTGCTTAATGCCTATATGCTTTCTTCAAGTAGTACTCCTACTACATTAATTTCTTTTTTGATTTCTTGTTTTCTTCTTTTTTTCTTTTCTTTTCTTTTGTTATTAATTTTTGTTTTAATTCTTTTCTATTTATTTCTATATCTTCTTGTTCTTGTTTTCTTTTCTGTTTTTTTTCTTTTTTTCAATAAATAAATGATTCAGCTTCTAATTAGGTATTATTTGTTTGTCCTACCTTTATACTTACTTTTTTTTCTGCAGTTTCAATATTTGCTTATAAACTTTTTTTGGCCTTTTCATTATCTTCTTTTTTTTTTTTGTCTTTTTCTTTAGCTCTTTTTGCCTTTTTTTTATCTTATTTGTCTATTGTTATTCTTCTTTCTTTTCTATAGTTATTCTATCTTGGTACTGTTTTACAAAATTAAATTTTTTTTTAGGTTGTTCTCTTTCTGCTTTTTCTAATATTTCTCTTATTATTCACAAAAGTGCTACTTTATTTAGGTCTTGTTTTGTAAGTGTTGCAACAATGTTATCTTCTCTACTAGGTATTGCATATGTTTTGCTTGCTTTATTGAAGAAGATTTTATTATGCACATTGTTCATCACCTTATATGCTCTTCTTGCGAAGATTGCATTAAGGCTTCCTTTATATTCTTTTGGCAGACTTTTGTTTATATTGCACAATTAACTAATATATTATTATAAAATAACTTTTGTATAATTAGATAGTTATATAACAAAATAACTTATTATAATTGGTCAATATTCTAGTAACTAATTAAAATATATAATTAATAATATATTATATATAAGATAATACTATAAATTATTTTTTTAATATTAATAATAAGATATAAATTATTTTTAGAATCTAAAACTTATTATATATAATAAAAATTAATAAAGAATTTACTTAATAAACTGTTCTAAAAAAAGTAACAATATACTATTAAGGTAAAAATATTTATTTAATTTAAATCAAAATTTATTTCATTTAAAACTAGTTTTATATTTTAATTAAATTCAT